TTTCCCTTTCCCTTGCCCCTTCCCCTTCCCCTTCACCTTACCCTTTCATTACTCTTCCCTTAACCTTCCCTTGTCTTTCTCTTTCCCTTTACCCTTCCCTTACCTTTCCCTTTACCCTTCCCTTGGCCCTCCCTTGCCCTTCTCTTACTCTTCCCTTGCCCTTTCCTTGCCCTTCCTCCATGGTTTCTTTAATATGTTGTATGTAATGTCTCTTTCATCAAAGGTACACTCTCTCTCTTTTTAATTACTTGCCTTTGTAACTCTTTTTCTCCTCTTCCCTTTTTTCTTAACAACTTTTCTTTTCCAAGTCGTCTTTTATTGCCTCTTGTGTGATTTCCTACTCCTTCTCCCCCAGCGCTTCCTTCCTCTACCTCTGTTGGAGTCTTTCCAATTTCCTGTGTTCTGGCTGTCTCTGGTATTTTCTTTTTCCCTTCTTCTGTGATCTTGCTTTCTCCGTCTGTCGGTGTCTCTGTCTCTCTATGTATCTGTTCATATACGTCTGTCGGTTTCTCTCTTTTTCTCTCTCATTCTCTCTTTTTTCGTCTGTTGGTTTCTCTGTCTCTCTGTGTATTTGTTTATATACGTCTGTCGGTTTCTCTCTTTTTCTCTCTCATTCTCTCTCTCTCTCTCTCTCTCTCTCTCTCTCTCTCTCTCTCTCTCTCTCTCTCTCTCTCTCTCTCTCTCTCTCTCTCTCTCTCTCTCTGTCTCTCTCTGTTTCTTTCACTCTTTTTCTTTCTCTTTCTCTCTCTCTCTCACTCTCTCTCTCTCTCTCTCTCTCTCTCTCTCTCTCTCTCTCTCTCTCTCTCTCTCTCTCTCTCTCTCTCTCTCTCTCTCCTCCTCCTCCCTTCCATTATCTTACGATTCACTCGCCCTGTCTTATCACCAACGCGCTCCCTCTCGCGACGCGCTCCATCTCACCAGTTCAATAACTTTTCTTCTTGGCTGTTTGAATGTCATTATCGACTTTTGTATCATTTTCTCCTCTTTTTTATATGAATTTCATTTTCTTTCGTTTTTTCTTGTCACATAAAGTCACTAACGGTACACCTTTCCGTTCATTTATCTTTCGCATTCCATCAGCCATTGTCTGTCTTTATTTTCTTGTCGTTGTTGTCCTCTGCGATCATTCATCACTCCTCCTCCTCCTGCTCATCCTCTTCTTCTTCCTCCTTCTCCTCCTCCTTCTCCTCCCCCTCCCCCCCCCCCCCTCCTCCTCCTCCTCCTCCTCCTCCTCCTCCTCCTTCTCTTCCTCCTCCTCCTCCTCCTATTCCTCCTCCTCCTCTTCCTCTCCCTCCCCCTCCCCCTCCCCCTTCTCTTCCTCCTCCAGTCCCAACCAACACCTTCCCCTCCTCCTCCTCTCCCCCCTTCCTCCCCTCCCCCTCCCCCATATCTAATCGATAATCATGCTCGATAAAAGATATATAGTTATAAAGAAGTTCTCGGTGTTTGATTACGTATGTTGTGTGTACATAATTTGCATATCTCTATTTTGAGAAAGTGTGAGATTTATACATATGTGAATATTGTTGTAGGTAATTCTGTCAGAATAAAGCCCCCCTTTGTAATGATTCAGCTGTCATCATCTGTGTCTATTCCTCGTCTTTATCTTTCTCTGTTGCCTCTTTCTTTAGCTTTTTATCTCCGTATGCCTTTGCGTGTTTTTCCCAGTCTATTTTTCCAATCTGCCTCTCTTTTTCTCTCTTTACCCGCTCGCCTGTCTGTTCATCTATCCATCTACTTCTCTCTCTCTCTCTCTCTCTCTCTCTCTCTCTCTCTCTCTCTCTCTCTCTCTCTCTCTCTCTCTCTCTCTCTCTCTCTCTCTCTCTCTCTCTTCTCTCTCTCTCTCTCTCTCTCTCTCTCTCTCTCTCTCTCTCTCTCTCTCTCTCTCTCTCTCTCTCTCTCTCTCTCTCTCTCTCTCTCTCTCTCTCTCTCTCTCTCTCTCATCCTTCTTCTCTTTCTTCTTCATCTTCTTCTTCCTCCCCTTTTCTTTTCTTTTTCTTATTTTTCTTCTTCATCGTCTTTTATTCCTCCTCCTCCTCCTTCTTCTTCTTCTATTACTACTACTTCTTATTCTTCCTTCCCTTTCTTCTTCTTCTTCTTCGTCTTCTTTTCCTTTTCCATTTGGGGGTTATATCAGTCTATGGTATGGACTTCAACATCGAAAAAGTGAATTGGTTATCGACATATGCTCAATATTAATAACCATTTCTCCGGGAATAAAAAAAAAGAGAGAGAAGGGAAAAAAAAGAAAACAAGATTTTCTCTTTTCCCCATTCTTATTCTTATTCCTCGTTTATCCATTCATAATCTTATCCACTTTGTTTCTTCTCACCCAGATCGAAAATTTCTCCTGACACTTAAAATTCACTCGTTCAGGTCTTCTTGTTCCCAACAGGATCTGAACTTTTCTTGTTGGAGTCGATAACATTGATTTCTTTTAATAAAGAGAAAAAAAGAAGAATTTACTGATAAACTGCGCCTTCACATTGTGGTGAATAATTGTTTTAATGCCTGTGCCATTTCTTGGGTGTTTATTCCAGCTGTCTGTGTGCAAAACGTTGACGACTATATTAAGGTAACATTGTGATATGATGATTTTGGAAAAAAAAGAGAGATTTAAAAAAAACTCATCACTTACTGTAGTTTCGTAAGTCATACGAAGATAAAGGATGAATTTTTACGATAGACTGTTTCCATAATGATGATAGTTTTCGAGTCTATCTATATCATTCCCCCCACCCACCCCACCCCCCCTCTCTCGTTTTTTATATCAACTTGGGAGATATACTGGCCGGACACATATCGAAATGTTGACATATCCAGAGCATTTATAAAAGCTCTGTAGTGTTTAAGTTAGTTCAAGGAAAGAACCCAGAACCCCCATCCCACCCACCCCCTACCCTCCATTCCTCAACCCCCCCCCCCCTGTCCTAACCCCCCCGAGGAAAGTAAGGATACCAACAATCTTCCAGTTTTTATCAACTACCTTGTAATCTTAGTATGATTGAAAGAATCCTTTTTTTTTTGGCTGACTCAAACGTACTTGTAAATAGTTATGAATTATATATATTATGATATGTGTTGTTATATGCCAATAAATGCAGATTATGTAGAAGCTGTTTATATAATGAATATATATTCAGATTAATCGTCACATGGCATTTGTACCGGGTTTCGATGTCTGATCTCTGTTTTTAATCAACTCTGGATTCGTTTCCGGACCTCGTCTCCTCCTCGTGTTCCTCTGATACAAAATGGCCGCCGGACATGCGAAGGGATTCCTCGACCGGAGCTGTGGGCGGGAAAGGTTTCATTTTTCATTGATTAGTTTTTTTGTTTTTTTTCTTGTTTTTTTTTTTTTGTTTTGTTTTTTGCTTTCTCTTTTTTGTGGGAGTTTGGGATTTGCGCTTCTTCGTTTGAGGCGTTTTTCCTTCGAGTTTTCTTTTTATCTTTTTTGTTGTTTTATAGTTTTCTCTCCACACACAAACACACACTCACACGCACACACACACACACACACACACACACACACACACACACACACACACACACACACACACACACACACACACACACACACACACACACACACACACACACACACACACACACACACACACACACACACACACACACACATACTCATTAATTCTAAAAATAAAAACAAAAAAAAGAAATATATATTGACATATCATGCTTCTAATAAAAAAACACGGATAATAATATATCAGGAGTGAATTACTATATTTTTCTGACTACAAAAGATATAAAAAAAAGGCTGTAATTTCAGCTGACGAAATAAGAACACGACCTTTTCAGTAGCAAGTAGAAAAAATGGCAAAAAAACACGGCATTAATTCAGAAGATTCTATCAACCTGAAGGCGGTGAATGCATTTTTCTGACTGCTGACGAAGTTCGAGGCGAGGCGACGTGAGGGCGGACAGAATGCCACGTCAAATGTCATTTCAAAATATTGTATGTTACAAGGACCTGAATGTCGAACAAACTGGTGGTTAATTCGAAGGTTTTGTTCCTTCATTTACGTGTGTGTGTGTGTGTGCGTGTGTGTGTGTGTGTGTGTGTGTGTGTGTGTGTGTGTGTGTGTGTGTGTGTGTGTGTGTGTGTGTGTGTGTGTGTGCGTGTGTGTGTGTGTGTGTGTTCGTGTGTGTGTATGTGTGTGTGCGTGTGTGTGTGTGTGCGTGTGTGTTCGTGTGTGTGTGTGTGCGTGTGTGTGTGTGTGTGTGTGTGTGTGCGTGTGTATGTGTGTGTGTGTGTGTGTGTGTGTGTGTGAGTGTGTGTGTGTGTGTGTGTGTGTGTGTGTGTGTGTGTGTGTGTGTGTGTGTGTGTGTGTGTTTGTATAAATATACGTGTGTGTGTATATAAATATATATATATATATATATATATATATATATATATATATATATATATATATATATATATGTATATGTATGTATGTATCTGCGTGTTTGTGTGTGTGTGTGCGTGTGTGTGTGTGTGTGTGCGTGCGTGTGTGTTCGTGTGTGTGTGTGTGTGCGTGTGTGTTCGTGTGTGTGTATGTGTGTGAGAATATATATATATATATATATATATATATATATATATATATATATATATATATATATATATATATATATATATGTATATATATATATATATATATATATATATATATATATATATATATATATATATATATATATGTATATATACATATATATATATATATATATATATATATATATATATATATATATATATATATATATATATATATATATGTATATATACATATATATATATATATATATATATATATATATATATATATATATATATATATATATGTATATATATATATATATATATATATATATATATATATATATATATATATATATATATATATATATGTATATATACATATATATATATATATATATATATATATATATATATATATATATATATATATATATATATATATATATATATATATATATGTATATATACATATATATATATATATATATATATATATATATATATATATATATATATATATATATATATATATATATATATATATATATATATATGTATATATACATATATATATATATATATATATATATATATATATATATATATATATATATATATATATATATATATATATATGTATATATACATATATATATATATATATATATATATATATATATATATATTATATATATATATATATATATATATATATATATATATATATATATATATTCGAACAGTCGATCTTAAAATTTTGTTTCTCCGTTTAAATCATATACGTTTTCCCTTCTTCCTCGTTCACCCCCAAGTCCGGTCAGAGGGAACCCAAGCAATTAGCCGTTGCATTTGGCCTTCGCATTTACTTAGAAAGGGCCTTTGTATTTAATGAACCAAATGTAAAGAAGAGATTAACAAAGAAATGAATGATTTTTACATCACACTTTAGAGTTACCGGTATTGCTAAGTCATTACATTGCAAATCTGGTGTTGAAACTGCATGTATTTTATAACGATTTCGGGTATGGATGT